GTTTCTATTATGCTTTTCTTGTACTTTCTTCTCTTGCTTCGCGTGCTACACGGAGTGTGGCGACTTGAACTTCCGCACATTTGTGCAAAGTTCTATGTCGAAAACAGACAGACAAACAGACAAACCTAAGCTGAAACTTGTCAGATGTCCAATTTAATAACATAACATAACAATCCGATGAGCATATTTTATTGATTGATAACAACATTATTTGCCAAGTTTCACTAATTTACTAAGCGGGCGATCACACTCCATCGGCAGTTCGTGGTGTTTAAAGTTTAACTTGACCGAAGTCAGTCTATGAGGTCATGAAAACATATATGTGTTATGCTTGCCGAACTACTGACTTCTTCAACGAGCAATGCTCACTAAAATGGGCCTAATTTGACGTAGGATAATGAGTGGTTGTAAAGACCAGAAGCAACACTTGTTGTAGCCTGAACATAAAGGAATGATCTTTGAATCCTAATGCACAGCTTAAGATACAACGTCACGCACACACGTACACTGTCACAAAACGCTCTAAAGACATCTCAAAAAGACGATTATTCGTCAAAAAGATTTATACTTCTTCTACTTGAATGTTTCTGATTTTTTCTAAAAATTGGATTGACGAATTGATAGAATTGTGGCATGATTCTCTTTAATTTAATTTAATTTCTTGAAAAGTTCTTTAGATAGATTATATTTTGGTGTTCCTGGAAGCGAAACGATTGGTTGTAAGAGTAGTTTTGGTCTACCATAGAATCGAAGTAAAATAGGTCCGTTAGATTTCTTCATTCGCCATTGGTCTTCTTTTTTGTAATTTGTCCTGATTTCGTTAGTTTATTTAACGTTGTTCTGATTTTGTTATCTAATGTTTGTATATGGTTTTTTTCGTCAACTGTTGATATACATTATTATCTTTGATGAGTAAATCCTCTGCTTCCTTTATGTAGTCTTCTGTGTCCAAGATTACTGTAGCTCTTCCTTTATCAGCCGTTAGAATAACTATATCTTTTCTATTCTTCTTTTTTTCAATGCATCTTGCTCTTCAGTGCTAAGTTGAAAATTATGTCTGTTCTGTTTGAGTATAGGTATGATACACTGACGTATTTCTTGTTGTACTTCCTCATTTAATTTTGATAATTTGAGTGATGATTCTAAGGAAGCAGAGAAATCTGTTACTGAAGCGTCACCAGTATTGTAGTTGAGTCCTTTCTGAAGGGTGCAGTAGGTTGGCTATGAGAACAAATACTCGACACCGATGACATTGGCTAGCGGTTGCGTTATGTCGTGAATTGGCAGAAGTTAGAATTCATGGACTGGCCATTGGATCAAGTCCCAGTGGATGAATGGCACACGAGCTTGCCTTGTAACCAGAAGGTCCTGGGTTTGACTCCCAGTGGGTGCGTATTGCTGGAGGGTCCCAAACTAGTCTGCCCAGTACTCCCAGGTTTTCCAATGGTTCTCTAACTAATGTCAGCTTATGATGAAATCATGTAACCAATCAAATCCCTACAAACCAACACTTGATTTAGCTGAACATCAATGTTGGAGTGATTTTGAGTTTTAATGCTGTTATTATTATTATTATTGAATAGAATCATAAATCAAGTAGAATATTTCCAACGAGTTATCGATCAAAACTCTGTCTACAAGAGTCACACACCTAAACAATTCTCGCACACAGTCCAAGGTCAGAGTCGCCTTGATTCACATAAACAAAATCACATCGTACAATAACACATCATCAATATCTCCATGTAGCCACAAAGAGAAGGCGAACGTAGAACTGCAAAGTCGTCTATTTCTGATCACCTGTTAGAGTCTGGTCATTTAGCCCCACGTGATTCATCTTTCAAAGTTATATACATGGCAAATTTGAATCGATCCAAAAGTTTACGTTTTCTTTACTTATGCATAGCTAGCCGAAGCTTTAGCTATACATGAACAGAAACCTAAATTATGTGTTAAAAGCGTTTTGTGTAACCCCTTTCTTTACCTTGGTCATAATAATGTTCTTTCTAGTTTTTATTTTATTGTACCACTTGAATTCTTTCCACTTCACTTCACATCTTCATTCTTATCGTAATCGTACTCCTAATTTTCAAAATTTTTAGACAACACTTGACATTTTTGTTATAGAACAATCTTTCATATTTTTGTAATTTATCCACTTCAACTCTACCCCATATAACTTTTATCACATATATACGTACATTGACTGAGCAATTATTTAGTGCCACTTAATAACCTTTTTCTGTAATATAAATACGACTACTGTACAGTTGGCTTGAAAATGAAGTCGTTGAAAAGAAATTTCTTCGCTGAACAAAAACTGTGTTTTTACTTATGAACAAAGAGAAGCATCAAAACTGCAGATTAAAGGTGAAAAAGGATGCTGAATAAGGATCAAGGCAATATATCAATGTAAGAACAACGATACACAGTCTCGGAGAAAAAAGGATAGTAATTACAAAGTTCAGGTGTTAGTTAGTTTGTAAGGATTTGATTAATTGGTTACAGGATTTCATCGTGAGCTGACATTGGTGAGAGAATCATCAGAAAACTAGCCAGAGATTGCTGGGCAGCTTTTTCATCCTACTGCTTGAGACACTTCATCAGTAAGTACCCACACACACCATGGTTCGAACCCGGGAAGTTTTGATTACAAGGCGAGTTCGTGGACGTTTAAACCCTATCCAATGGCCAAGCCATGAATCCCAGCTTCTGATAATTCACAAAATAGCGCAACTACTAGCCAGTGTTTTCAATCACGAGTATTTGTCCTCACACCCAACCTGCTGTATCTTACCGGTCATGACTTCCCACAACTTTAATATCAATCTGATGCTACCTAGTGACTTCCCCTATTCACAGAGGTAGTTAACTGAAGTTCTAATGGGGAGCCGTGACCAGTGAGGGGGGTAAAAAAGGTATCCGGTGTGAGGATAAGTGCTCTCCAAAGACAATGGCTCGTGGTCGTGCTATGTCTTGAATTGGCAGAACTTGGAATTCATTTCCAAGCTTATCATCCCTCCTCCTCTCTTCAGAGCTGACAGGCAGCACTGTTGGCCTACTAGTTTTAAAAATGCAGACTCCTTAATGTTGCTGTTGCATCCCTGTTTGCCAAAAGTAAGACCTCCTCACTACTCCGCAACCATACTGTGACCGTGACTCCCTTTAGTATAATCCAACAGACATTTCTGACACTAAATGACCTACAGAAATAATTGTTTCAGGCAGTGTAACTGGTTGGATGATTGCAGTATGTAACACCAAACTCCATGTCCAGTCAGCAGCTAATGTTTTAGCTTATACTGTAACCAGCTCATAATAAAATCAGATGAGTTCATCCAAAAACATACATACACCGTAATGGTAACTCTATCATCAATAATGTGTTTAGAAAAGAGAAAGATTGAACGAAGAAATATTTACTTTTCAATTAGATCTTCCCTCATCTCACTCTGGCTCTACTCTAATTTACACCTATAGCACCTTTTATTACAATACACATTAGTTTACCAGTCATCTAGTAGCATTGATATGTTTGTTAACACTAATTTGTCAGTCAGTGTCAACATGTCAAGCAGTGGGGTGATAATTAACGAAGAAAATCAATACACACATTTAAAAGGTAGAAATGCTTAGAATAAATCAATTTTACAAGGATAACACGTAAATTAAAGATGAAGTGGTCAGAAAAAATAATAAAATCATTTGGACAATTATAATTTTTATAATTTTAAAGGTTTAGGGGAGGGGGTGAAGTAGTCCGGTTTACACATTCATGTAACGTTGGCCAAGGAAGGTAAGGAAATTGGCTGTACAAATGTTTTCTGAACACACAGGTTTGGCTGGCTTCTTCAGGTGGATTCTCATTGCTTCAGCTGTCTGTCGAAGACGAACTCGTAGAACAAAGTTACGATTAGTAGGAATGCGATAAATAATTTTAAATGCAGTATTAACATCAACCTTATGCTCACTATCCACAAGGTGTGCTGCAATAGATCTACGAATAGATCTTGTTAGTCCCTTGCTTAACCATGTTGGATGATGTTCGGAAATACGATGATGTACCTGCCTAATTGTTCGCCCCAATGTAGCTGACTCCACAGCTGCAGTCAAACTGGTAGATACACATAGAAGAGACAAATTTAGGCAGTTTATCCTTATTTCTCGAACGCAGAATAGGGGGTGGTTGTGAAGAGACAACGTACCTCTGCTGCATAATAAGCTCTTTTAACTGAATTCTTCAGGCGCTGTGTTATTATTTCGCTGATGTTGTCACCGAGGAACTGCAGTTTTATGAACAAACTGGACTACTTCGCCCCCCTCCCCTAAACCTTTAAAATTAAAATTTTATAATTGTCCAAATGATTTTATTATTTTTTCTGACCACTTCATCTTTAATTTACGTGTTATCCTTGTAAAATTGATTTATTCTAAGCATTTCTACCTTTTAAATGTGTGTATTGATTTTCTTCGTTAATTATCACCCCACTGCTTGACATGTTGACACTGACTGACAAATTAGTGTTAACAAACATATCAATGCTACTAGATGACTGGTAAACTAATGTGTATTGTAATAAAAGGTGCTATAGGTGTAAATTAGAGTAGAGCCAGAGTGAGATGAGGGAAGATCTAATTGAAAAGTAAATATTTCTTCCCTGCTCAATCTTTCTGATTTTTAAATGTGTAAATTTTGGATTTTTTCAATAATATGTTTACAGAATCGTGATTCTGATCATATACTCCCTTTCTTCCCGTCGAAATCGGGGTGGTATGGGGTGGGGGAGTGGAATGCTTACCAATCACACACATCTGCCTGGTTTGATTGTCAGCCGACCAAAATGGTAAAGACGGAAGGTTAGACATCCACTGAACCACTCCTTTCCCTAGGAAAACAGCACAAACGCTACAGTAATTCCAAGCCTTCCAGCCTAAGACCCTATCTCCTCGAAATCTCTGATAAAAGACACCCTCTTTTATTCATTTTATTTTTTTTAAAGGTATATGAAGGAGCTGAAAGCGAATTCTGGGATATTCTCCTTCAAGCAAAATCATCAAACCCTGTACAAACTACTACTGCCACTACTAATGAATCTCATACTGGATGGCGTTCATGGAATACAAATCAATCAATCAAACCTTCAATGAATATGACTCATACACGACCTAATGAGATTACCATTAGTACAACTACTTCTACCACTAATACTACTATGAGTACTACGACTACTAATACTAATCTCAGTAATAATCGATTACAACAAAGGAAAGCCTCCACTCCACCCCACTATATACACACTACAATATCAAATCCATTCAAACTTACTCACAGCACTAATAGCGCTAAATATCATCAAGAAATTGAAAACCTAACATTTCCCCATGAAGTAGTCAATTCACAAGAGAAAAAACGTCAGCTTAAACATCAAATCTCATTACCAAGTGAAAAATTACAACCAACAATTGATTTATTGAATAAAAGCTTAGCCAATCAAATGTTGCCAATCGTCACCACCACCACCACCCCCGTCAGCAACGTCAACACCAACGACCATCAATACTGGTGATAATATCCTCACCGATCATAAAACCTCCAATAGTCATGCTTGTATTACATCGAGTACATCTGGCGTCGGTGTAGATACTACTCACAGAAATACTAACAGTAGTATGTGTGGTGATGCTTGTTCAAGTAAAAAGCTACCGGATTACTTTACTCGAATAATTGACACTAATAATGACAAGAATAGTAATAGTAATAATAATAATAATAGTGATGACGACGTCATCACTTCAAATCTTGTATCGAATCCAATTTATCTGGATGAATCATTTATCAATGAACAGCTGACAGTGGATACTAAATTCACTAATGATAATGAAAGCGGAGCAAATTATCAGAATAATGAAATTACCCAGTGTTATATGGATAAAACGTCGTCTGATTATGATATTATTATCGATAAAAGCGATGATTATAACCAAACAAGGTTAGTTTATATTATTTTTCTTTATATAATTTTTTTTATTTCATTGCTTTGCGTCTCGAGTGGAACACCTCGGGCTTGAAGTTTGAGCTCTGAAGTTTCATGAGCAGTAGTGTTACTCTCTGCGAACTTGGGTTACTAGCCTCATGCCCTGTTATTTATGTTTTTTCGAGTTCCTAATGGAACATAGGGCTTCAACTGCAAGTCTCCAATTGCTTCTGTCTTCCCTCTGCTTCACTTTTCACCTCCATCCATCCATGTTAGTCTATACTCTTTCAACTCCTCTTCACACGATCTACTCCATGTCAGCCACACTTGAACAACCCACTTGCCGCTTCCGTTTCGGCCTGGTTCCACTCGAACAATGGCCTGTCACCCAGCGGCCTCCTCAGCGAGTGAGTGTCCATCTCTATCCATCTTCACTTTGACCTGCATATTTGTTGGTTGGCGATTGCTTCTTGTTTTGTTTGTTTGTTCCCATAGTGATTCCTGTTGGTGATTCTTTCCGGCCCGGCCATCTGATCTGATCTGATCTTCAGTATAGAGCGAAGACAGTTAATTGTTAATAAAGGTGTGCAACAGGCCGTTGGAAATATTCGTTGTGACCCTCCCGCCAAGTTTCTCATCCCTTCCGTATAGAAGAACTGACTGACTTGACATTGTTTGTATTGAAAATCCGACCGAATTTTGTTGTTGATGCTGGCTGAGTGACGAAGATTTCTAGATTGGTTGTTTCAGGTTGATGAATGTGTTTCTCGCCTGCCTTCCCGATGATTCTCGATTTGACATCCTCCTGGTCCGTTCCTCCGTTCCTGTAGTTGAGACAATGCTCCCTAGATAAGTGAGTCAATGAAGTTACTTCTTTCAAATCCCCCCATTGTGATGATGATTGGCTGCTGCCTAGATGTTGCTGTTGTTGTTATTCTCGTTGGTTGGTTGGCTGACTATTTTCATAACCTCCGTCTTGTCCATGTTCACCTGGAGTCCTGTCTTCACCGGCTGCTTCTTCGACTGACCAGTTTGTCGGTTTTCGCCTGTAAGTCTTCGATTTTGTGTGACATCAAACATAAATCATCGCCACGCGAAATCCAGGTCTTCTAGGTTCTTCACGTCGGTCCAGGATATTCCTGTCTTCTCGTTTCCCACTGTCTGACGCATAATCCAGTCAGTCCACCACAATTAGGAATATCATTGGTGATAATATGGACCCTTGTCTGACACCTGTGTTTACTCCAAACGCCTCGCTGAGTTTTCCGTTGTGGATCACTTGACATGTGCCGTTGTTGTCGTACAGCCGTTGAATAAGGTTGATGAATATTTGGGCACTGTACGCCGTAGTACTCGAGTAGTTTCCAAATTACTTCGTGGTCAACGCTGTCTGTCGAAGGCCTTCTCAAAGTCTATAAAGTTGAGGTAAAGGTTTGAAGCTTCATGTTCTACCTTCCTTCAGTGTCCAGCTTACAATCAGCTGACGGTGGTGAAGGCGTGCACTGGCCAGGAATGAAACTCTTAGTCACTTGCATGGTTAGTGGGCGCGCTACTGCTATACCAACGACGCATATATATATATATATATATATATATATATATATATATATATATATATATTCTAATGTATTTTTATGACGTATTGCTGCCTCATGCTCATGGGCGTGAAAGTATGTGGGTGTAGGAGGATGAGGAGAAGGGAAGTTTCTACGAAAGTCTCCTATCGAGACATAATCAAAAAAAAAAAAAACAGAAATCATTAGAGGTTATTATGATCACTGGTGCTTTCCTTCAAAAAAAGCTGTGTCGAGGCATCTAGATACATGGTGATTACACTGCAAACTTGACTGACGATAGAATTCAGTCCCAGCTAAACACCAAGAACCAGACATATTACAGTAGTTAGTCACTGCTTACTGTCCAATGAAAAAATATTATATAGTCTCCTATAGGAGGTCAACCGCTGGATCAAATAGCTTGGGATTTCGTCATGAACCGACATGGAGGTTAGATGACCACTGGAAAACCTGGGAGTACTGGACAGTACTCTTGTTCTAATGCTTGGGAATCTTCATCAGTACACAGCCATCCACCATGCTTTGAACTCAGGCTAGCAATCTCACAGACCTTTCAGCCTCTGGAACCCAATACAATGGCAAATTCATGAATTCCAACTCCTGACAATTCATGCAATTGTTCACACACTTTAATAAGTGCACAAAGGATTTAGTTGATTATTACTATGAGTATTGATTTATGTGATTATATCTTCGTTGAAGTTAATCACCTGGATATCAAGTGTTTTGAAATAATTTGGATGTTTATGATGAGTGATGTATCCGGGTAGGATAGAAACAGGTGGCCACTGAAGTTAATGATCTGTTTGGTGGAGTCATGTTTTCATATTATTCTGAAAAGGCTAATTAGTAGACATTACGTAATCGATAGTGACATTAGCAACCATATTGCTAGGCTTATTTGAATGCATTTGACAATAAAAATGTCTTGAAATTCTGGTCAACTCATTATGTGATATATATATATATATTCTTGATAACTTGGCTTGATAACATGCTAAAAACTGTCAAATCGAAGTTATTTAAACACATGGATTTCTAAGAGAACTCGAATTTGGACATTAATGTTACCACCATTTATTATTCCGTTGGGTTCCGTGTGAAACATACAGCGTCAAGGGAACATCTTCATTTAATTTATGTTATTTGTAGTCTTTTTCAGCCTACACCACAATTGCCTATGAGTCTTATTTCCTCCTCACATTGGATCTTCTCCATGTCAACTTCTGACAAGTAAGGCACACACATTCGGGTAACACCCAACATCCTGACGTTCAGTGTCAATTGAAGGTTTTAGTCGTTACGTATGTTCACATCGTCTTCATTTCCTTTAACAGATTTTTTAAGCGATGGAGTTCCTTGCTACTTATCCTTTCTAACTGTCCATCTGACCTTCAGTATGGAACCATCAAAGGTGTTGCAGTTGTTGATAAAAGTCTTCAGAAGCCTGTTGGTGGGGCGGTCTCAAAATTTCTGAACACTAAGTAGAAGCGCTGACTTGATATGAGAGCTGAAAATTTCAAAGTTAGATCTTCAGATTAATGAAGATGTGTGTTGATTTGTCGAACCGATCTAGCCATCTTTGACAACCTCATTTGCGCCATCTGTAATTGTTCTTTTGATTACTAATGTTATGTACTCGTCGCCAAATTATTATTATTATGTACTTGTCGAGAATTTAATAGTCCTGACGCAAGAAAGACGGAAATCAGAAGACCACTAGGTTTTCGATGAGTCTTCTATTTTCCAAACACAAGGAGAATCAAATGTATCACACAATAGTGTGAGAGCAAAATATATATATGAATGTCCAACCAAGTGTGTGAACAAATCAATAGACAGTCTTAACATGATTGGCTAATTATAATGGAGTATCGATCCATATATACATAGCGAAATATAACAGACTGTCAAACAAACACACATATTATATATACTATAAGGGGAATATACATTGTAAAGGGAGACAGGTTCATCAAAGTGAAATGGTCACAGACTAAGAGAGCAACAGAAAGAGAGACCACCATACACACACATATATATTATTATTGTATCCTTTAGTTCCTAGAGGAACATAGGGCTTCAGCTGCGCACCTCCATATATATATATATATATATGGATACATATCAACTAAAAATATTGATTTGACTGCTTACATCAGTTAGAGAACCATTGGAAAATAAGCCAGGGAGTACTGGATAGACTGGCTGTTTCGTCCTAGTGCTTGAGACACACTCTTCATCAGTACACACCCACCAGCGGGGTTCGAACATAGGGCCTTGTTAACCTACATGAGTAAAAAATTACAGTCACTTAAACTCTCATATTGCTCCGAAGTGTGTCTGTCCGTTGATTTGTGTATGTGTGTATTTGTTTGTGTGTGTTTCTGTAATTCATGAAACAATCAAATCAATATTTCAAGGTATTAGAGTTACATGTGATTAACATAAACATATACATAGTATACTTGCTACTGACACTTGTTCTCAGCATGACAATGAACCCCCTTCACCTGCTCGCATCCCTCCTCACCAACCCACGCACCCATGTACTACACATACAGCACAGATCACACATACACACACACTAGATCACCACCCTAAGATCAACTATATGATCATGATCGTATCTATCCACACTATAATTGGTCAGTCTCATGTTATTCTCACTGTTGCACTTCAATGATACTCCACACCTTGAGGTGTTGGCCTGTTTTTTATTTCACCTTCACAATGAAACCCATCAACAGAGCAAGCAGTCTATCACTCTTCTCAGATGAAAATAAGCTAATCTACGGTGTGACATATCAGTTATAACATGTCTGTCTCACTATCTATGAAGGAGTGACAGGGGGGCGATAGGGAGGGGTTACGGAGAGGAGGCGTGATACACTCTACCATATCGATCGATATTATTATCTACTGTTAATTTAAAAATTTTTAAGTTATTACTAAAAAAAATTTAAAAAAAACGATAATTTAGTATATCTCATCAACACGCTTAAACTTTTTAAAATTTCACTTTCAGACGTTCATTGAAGCTAAATGAGCTGAACGATATTATAACGCCTCAAACAGTTGGACATGTATTTGTTATGAAGGCAAAAGCCTATCCCATAGAAGATTACAGCTTTTTATCTAACCTACCAGATTGTTCTGATGTTGTTGTTGTCAACAAGTCGTTAACGAAGACAACGTCGCCGCCGCCATCATCATCATTAACAACAACAGAGTGGGGACAAAATCACCGTCGACGCCATCATCGACCAATTGTCATCAAGAGACTGATAAGATTACACCACTTGCTACAACAACTACGACTACTGATATCACTTATACTACTAACACTACTACTAGTAATAATAATATCAGTAGTATATTTGAAACCTCAAATACAATGAATAAACCAAAATTACGACGTGCCTATACAAGTAAAAAATCCACCAAACGATTACAACCCTACATGGAATTACTATCTGATGATAATGCCACCACCACCACCACCACCACCACCACAAGCACCACAAACAGTCGTAGACATGGATTATTATTTCTAGGTGAAAGTTCAACATGGCTAAGAAATAATATTTTACCTACAGAAGAGGTTAGTTCACATTCACATTCTCTGTTAATTGTACTCGTTCAATATATTCAATGTTCAATCACACCTTTGACCTTGAATTTGAATTGGCGCGCCATTTAAATTATTATTCTATCGTTATTATTATTATTGTCATTAAATGAAAATGAAAAACAATTTGAACACAAATAGTTTAGACATTTCTTTTCTCCATATATCAGTAATTTAAATTAAATTTTATTGCAGTAAAAGCCCAAAATAATTTGAAAAAAAACAAACACATGAAGATGGCTGTTACATAAGATATGTATATGTGTATTTCAGTATCATCCGCGGTAGGTACATTTGTCTAGTAATAGTTACTTCAAATTAGTTAAGTCGTTATTTAAAAAGATACATGCGACACACAATAGACAGACGGCATATTATAAATTTCATGATTATTATTGATTAGCCAAGAAGCAGGCAGACCAGTGACCTTGAACAAGGCCAATCACAGCTTTCATAGGTGCTTTTTTTGAAATATTTATTATTTTGCCTTCCGAGGGGAACATGCAGCTTCACACTTGAGCTTTTAGGTTTCACTGGAGGTGGTGAGGCTGTTAAACTCACACTTAGCTTCCCTCTTCACTGGTATCACTGCTGGGTAAGTGATGTTAGGAGTTCGTCAACAGGGAAATCATGCTCCGGACAATGAGTAGCGCAGGTGGTGAGTATTTCACTCGTAAACTGACTATGATGAATATCATGAATCTACAATGTTACTGATGGTTGATTTGAAGCATATCGCGAAGTCACTAACTGTTTGCCTAAAATCTTCAGGTTATGAAGAATCAATAGTTGTCAAGACTGTAATGTGACTTAGAATGGCTTATAATATGTCGATGTGTCGGTGGCACAGTGATTAGGACTCTCGCCGACGCACATTGTCCGGGTTCGATCCCTTGCCGACGCACACCTGATATCTATGGTCGGCCTGCAAAATTTGGGCTACCGATATCCATGCTGAAAATTCCATACTTTACCAAAAATACGGTGTGGAATCAAGCTGTAATCAAAAATAAAAATAAAAAATTCACTTCACTCATAATCATTGAGATTCCCCTTTAGACTTATATATATATATATATATTCGTTCATTGTAGGTGCATTAAATTCCTATTCAGTAACTTTATGATTCCCTTTCCCTCAAAAAAGCATACGTTCACGTTACTAACAGTTGTATGACAATGCCGCATGCCGCCAAGTAATCCACAACAGGAAACTTACGGAATCCTTTGAAGTGGGAACTGAAGTAAGACAAGGCTGCCTACTATCGCCCATGATTTTGTTGATTTCTGGCGATAGACTGGATAATGCGGGCGATGAGGAAACAGGCATAAAATGGACCCACATAAAAAATGTGGAGGATCTGGACTTCGCCGATGATATATGTATGATATCCCACAAAGTGGAACATATTCAAGTGAAAAGCATTAAGTTGGCAGAATAAGCATCACACATAGAACTTCAGGTGAACACAGGGAAAACAGAGGTGATAAAGATTTCTAGCCAACAGCAACAACAACAGACAACAATCAACCAGCGTAAATGGCAGGGACCTGAAAGAAACAAACTTATTTACCTACCAACCTACCTGAACCTGCGTTTCAACTATAGGCGGAACTGACGAGGATATCAAAGCAAAGATTGAGAAAGTAAGACAAGCTTTCATTACCATCAAGTCTGTGTGGAGGTCAACAGCACTCAGAATGAAAATGAAAATAACATTTGGATTTTCAACTCCAGTGTGAAGTCAGTGCTGCTCACTATACGAAACAGAGACTTGGCGCGTCCTAAAAGCATCTCAAACAAAATAAAGACCTTCATTAACAGCCAGAAAATATCAGCAACACGGCTCTCTGGCAGTGAGCGAAACAACCCAGCAGGAACCGATTTTGCAAGAAATAGGCAGGAAGAAATGGAGATGGATTGACCATACTCTGAGGAAATCAACAAGTGACATCACTGGACAAGCCATTGCTCTAGGGAACCCGAACGGGAAGCGACGAGTTGGTCATCAGTGCGAAGGTGGCTTGGAGGAGGTCATGTGAAGAGGAGATGAAGCATGTGGGCAGACCCGGAGCCAGGGGAAATCCTAGCAGAGAACCAAACGCAATGGAGTCGCGCATGACACCCTATGTTCCTCTAGGACTTAAACGAAATAATAATAATAATCAGGTTACTCGATCAGTAGCTGATTGTTTAACTAGTGTTTATTCAATCAATATGTTGCTACGCATTGTTTTGACATTTAAAACAGAGTGTTGTTAGGAAAAAAACGATATATTATCGATCGAATGAGATAAGTAGCTGCAAATCACTCATATCAGCCAGTAGTGCTTGCTAGACAGATCAAAGTAAGCAAACACTGGATGACCATTTCGTTCGTTTGGAACCCAGTCCGTCATCTGTTTACCCTGTTTGACTCAGCTCAAAGAGTCCAGTTAGTTCAAACATCCGGTTCTATTGAGTTAGCCATTTTTGGAGAACATGTTTGAACTGATTGACTATTCGTGTTGAACTGAACGAACTCTTCTCCAAAAGAGTAAAACGGACATCTGATGATTAGATCATGTCAATCTGTCTCATAAATGTGACTACTAGTTTGAGTGCCATGCAACTACTCATCACAAGTCAATCAGTAGTACATAAAGTCATGCATTAACGCTTACAGGTGGAAATCAACAAACAAGGCTGAAGAGGCAGTGAAGATAAGACTCCAGGTGAACATGGAGAAGACAGAAGAGATGAAGATAAGTAACCAACAGCAACAGGAAAACAACCAGCATCGGTAACTATCAAAGGGAGAGATTTGACAGAGGTTACTTCCTTACTTCACTTATCACTGGCTAGACAAGAAGCAGGACTTTAATTACAGGTACACGACAAGGATGAAGACGTCAAATCTGGCTAGCCAGAATCGAAAAGACAAGATACGCCTTCGTTAACCTGAAACCACCTGGGAAATCTTCTGCAGTAACTCAGAAGGCATCAACAACAAGATTCAGATTCTGCTCAACACAAATGTGAAGTCAGTCAGTTCCTCCTCAGGGATGAGAAACTTGACTAGTGTGTCACAAAAAGGATTTCCAGCGGGCTAATGCAGACTTTTATCAACACCTGCCACCTTCGCCGGCTTGCTGGCTGGCTGGCTGGCTCCATACTAGAGATCAGATGGCTAGCTGGCCAGCAAGAAAGAACTAGCAACAAGAAACTCACTGGGAACCAATTAACGTGTAAGAGCTGGTTGCTCAACAAATGTGTAGGATAAAAATGGAGATGGTTTGGGCATATATATCACTGAGGAGGCCATCAGATGACACTGAGTAATCGTCGGTGACTGGGAGACATGGAGGAGATCGTGGGCGTTGGGGGAGGAGATAAAATATTATAGGCAGTCGTATGGCTAGTCAGATGAAGAGGACAGCAAAACACAGAAATGAGTGGAGATGTGTTGTTCAAGCCGTATGTTCCATTCGGAACCAAGGCAATAATAAATATATAATAATAATTTAGGCTTGCTTTGCTAATTGCTGTTTATTGTACAAGTAGATCACACACACTGTGATCTAAATAACGAATGGAAACTGTCGTGGAGTTTCAACACCATCTCGAACTTTGTCAATCGCAAATTAATTTGGGAGTAGATAATTCGATATACAGAATATTTTCGTTAGTGTCTAGACACTGGGACAATAAGGATTTCTTTTCTACCTTGTTAGACTTTAGTTCTTCTCCGTTAAAATTCCACTACTGACTGCTGAGTTAAAGGTTAGTGATTTCTCTCTCACACACACACTCTCTCTCTCTCTGGTTCTCAACCACAATTTTAAAATATCAAACAAACTCAAAGCATCATAGTCATAAATTTTAAAACTTTAAAAAAATGTGCAACGATTTTTGTCACATGCTTGTTAGATGACTTAGTAAGGTAGAACATTCACACTATCAATATAATTAAAAAGTCTTATGCTTATCTAGAACTTTTGTATACTTCTATGAGTCATCAAGGAGATACACGCCAAGACAGAATAACGTCCGCCTCTCTAGTTATTTTTGTTTTTCGTCTACTGTCTCTAATAACACGCGTTTAAACATGTGAATGTCTAGCCTACTATGACGTGCAGTAATTTACAAACCCTCAACCATACCATCACAGTAATAAGTAAAAACACCAGAAGAAGGCGAGAGATCCGTGATGACATCACTCTACTGAGTTCAGTTGTCATAACTCTCAAGAACTGACAAGCAATAATCAGCTGATTAATTTCGATTTTAACTAATTGAAATCTACCAATCAGATGACAAGTAATTTGCCTACAGTAGATTACCATCATAACGCCTACGCATTTGCAGATAATATCCTAAACGTTTTCTGATTGGTAGATTTTAGTTTATTCATAACAGGGCCAATCAGCTGATTAATGCTTCTATCCAAGTGAAAGAAAAAACTCATGCATGAGACTGTGGGTGATATTGAATTAAGTAATAGTGTTGCACAGTTTTCAGAATTTAGAGAAAATATTCTAATCTCACCTAATCCAACCATAATTGTAAATTGAGATAAGGACAGGACAGTCATTAGGATGAATATCGAAAGTGTTATGGGAAACAGGTTTGGTCACCATTAATGAAATCAGTCAAAGGACCACTAGATAGCCAGGAATTGCTTCATGGGCACAACGGTTAGAACTCTCGCCGACCATGCACATGTCTGGAGCTCGATCCCTTGCCGACGCACGCCCAATATCAATGGTTGGCCTGCCAAATTTGGGCTACCGATATTACATGCTGAAAATTCCATACCTGTACCAAAAATACGGTGTGGAGTCAAGCTACATAATAATAGAAAAAATGAATTATTATTATTACTTTCTTTAATTCTAGAAGAACATAGGGCATCAGCTGTACGTTCAATTGCGTTCGGTTCTCTGCTAGAGTTTTCACCTGGCTCCAAGTCTGTCCACATGCTTTCATCTCCT